ATAAGTTTACTCTTGGTCCGATAGACTGTCAAAAAACTTTTTTTTAATTTTTCGAGCTTATAATTAAACTTATTGATTTGTGCTTTTGGAACAATGTTTGGAACAACTAGAACAATCTATATTGGTATCGGTAATGTTTTATTTTCCAAAAATGGGGTGCCAAATTAAAAACATTTTTTTCATTTTTTGGACTTATAATTCAACTTACGGATTTGTCCTTTTGGAACAATGTTTGGAACAACTAGAACAATCTATTGCGGTATCAGAATGTTCGATTTTCGAAAAGTGGGGTGCCAACTCAAAAAATAATTTTTTTTGTTTTATTCGAAAACCGTTTCGAATGAAGCAATATCACTTTGGAACAATGTGGAATAAAGTCAGAACAATCTGGAACAACTTTCAAAATTATAAATTTCAAAAAGTGGGGTGCCAACTTCATATACTCTTGAGAAACGTGGTCCTGAAGAAAGGAAAATTTATTATGTCGAAGACATTATGTTTAGATCACTGTATAACGCGTTCCATGATTTTTTTATATAATTTTATCAAAATATGTCTTCCTTTTCTTTGTTGATATTCACTAACACATTGATAAAAAATATCTGAGAAATAAAAAAATATTTATTCGGTGGGTAGTAACATAACATATATTTATACTGATATAAAATATTTTTTAAATAAAATATATTTTCTTAAAATCTTGCATTGACATATATAATTAATTTCTATGAATAAACTTTATATATCACAGATAAATTTTCGAACATTTTTCTCAACGCAATTTTTCATCAAAGCAATTGTTTATTCTACTTAAATAAAAAATTTAGATTTAAATTTAGATTTTTTTAGAAGTAAACATGCTATTTTAGTATCCACCGAGTAAATATTTATTTCTTTGATTTTTTTCTCAATGCATTTATTACATATTTTATTAGCTAATTCTGATGGTACTTCAACGATTTGTAGTAAAATATTTTTTCCTTCTCTTTATTAGCACTTATTAATACTTTTTATTGCATCTGGTAATGTTTCAAGGTTAATTTGCGATTTTGCTAAGGAACGAAATTGCAAATTTTCCGGACGAACGTCTCGACATCGAATATTTCGAGGCGCGATTTTGCCGATGAACTGATAAAGGATCTCACGTTTTTACGGGCTCGAGATAAAGGCGAAAAAGTCGGCGTAATGATCGATGCCGGCGACGTTCTATCGGCATAATGTGCATTTATCATGGCACGATTAGCTCGTCGACAGCTGCCCGAATCGATAATCACGAGGAGCCTCAGTCTCGTTTCCCTCGTCTCTCCGCAATGTAAATAGCCCAATGGAAATTCTAATTAGCTGAGTTGTACAAATTCCGCGTAATTTAAATAACTTTATCTCTCTACCCCCGGTCGAATGACTGTGTGAAGCATCGTTCGAGTCCATAGCGAAGCACGACGCTTTATAGATTATCGAAAATAATTTGCTCGTGGCAAACGTTAAACGTCGTCGTTAATCAACGAAACGAGCCTCGGGGAATTTCATTTTAATATCGCCGTTATTTCGTGTAATTTTTGTTCAAACAATGTCCAAGTAGAATTTTTTCTCAAATAAGACACATTCTCTCTCTCTCTCTCCGAGATAACGTTTGTGAGACAAAATGGTCCAGCTTTAAAATACCACGAGGTAAGACATTCTGTGAGAATTTCCAGACACGAAACGAGGATTACGAGACAAAGACTCGACCTCGACGGGAGATATTAGACTTCAAAGATACCCTGAGACATGATGGCTGATCGAGAGGTTTAATCGGCAGATCGATGGCTAATCAATGTGAGAAGATAAATCAAAGCGTAACGAGAACTCGGCCTGTTTCAGGTATAATCAATCCTTCGAACATCACACCGCGACCGGGAGTATGCGTCATTAACAACCGTGCATTCTTCGTATTCGGCTCCTTGATCGCCTTTTACATACCCATGATCGTCATGGTGGCGACTTACGTGCTGACGGTGCAGCTGCTTCGCAAGAAAGCGCGTTTCGCGGCCGAGCACCCCGAAGGCGATCAGTTTCGCAGATTGGGCGGTAGATATGCGTCCGCGAAAACGTCGTCTACGGCGTCCTCGTCATCCACGACTACGACTACGACTACCGCCATGAGGTCGTCCACCTCTTCGGCCAGACAAGCCCGCGTTTCCGGTTGCAACGCGGAAACGGAAAGGTGAGGAACTTTTTGCGGCCGAGAGATTCGGTTTGTCAGAATTTTTGAGTACGGAGTTAAACTGTAATATTACTTATTACAAAAGCTAAGCACACGGGATATTTCGTAACTGGAGCATAGCACACGGGATATTTCGAAATAAGTACGATAAGGAGACTGAAAGGATAATCTCGTACGAGAAAATCAGTCAAAATTGTGAAATAACGCTCAAAAGATGATTACAGCTTTTGAGCGTTATTTCACAATTTTGACTGATTTTCTCGTACGAGATTACCCCCTTTCAGTCTCACATAATCTTATTCTAAGAGAATATCCTCTTGTACCTGATGCAAAGTATCCCATAGCTCATGCATATGTGGATTAGACCGAACTGAATATAAAGTTCCTCTAGCATTTTGCAAAAAAATTATGTAAAATTTATTAATTAAAGAAAATTGGCAAATGACCATGTACGATATGATGCCTGACGTGTTTATAGATTGGCTCAAACTAAACAAAAAAGCTTTATCATTTCATAAATAACTGTGTAGACTTTTAGTTATTGATTTAAGAGAACGTTGGTGTACTATTCGCGCGAGATCATACGCGCATCTTCTTTCATTAATAACTCAAAAATCTACGTGATATTTGGCAAAACGATACGGGACATTTAGTCAGTTTGACCTAATCTACATGTACACGGGATGTAGAGCATTTCCTGAGGACATGTATAAAAGAGAATTCGCTAAGAATACGATTATATTTTTCTAGGTGCTTTCGCGTGGAAAAACTTGTTTCCGAAAAGATCGATCATGAAGATCAGAAATTTGAAAATGTCTCTTTAATAACATTATTTAACTTTATTTAACTTTATTCAATCAATAACGTTGCTATTTTCAAAAATCTATACTTGTTTTGAGTCTTCTCTTTTCTTTTTTTGATAAAGGATTTCAACGCTCAATCATCATTTGTTTCTGTCGCGATTACGCGAGGAAAGTTCAAATTGCCTCGTATAGTGTAACATACTAGTATAATTTACTTGCACACGCTTACGAGACTAGAGTAGCTGAAAATTGCCATTGCGATGCTCATTCGCGATATAAATATGTCGGATCCGGTCGTCTATCAAACTCTCGCTTTTATCGCGCGATTTTATGCAAGGCGGATGCGTACATGCAATGTCCCTGATATCAGCGCGACAACGACGTCACAGTCTATGCATCTTAAATCAAGCGTCGCGACGCAACGGCCAGTCCGGGGTCGCGCGAATTAATGCGATCCAAACTTTCTTCATCAACGCGTCAATTTTTAACGGAGAAACTCGAAACATTCCGCGCACGTACACGACAATATTGCGTCGTATTACAACTGGCGCGAAATAAGAATTCAAAACAAGATAAACACTCTCTTCAGAGATCCTTTCTTTTCTTATCTCTTTTTCTTTTTTTATATGGCGTCTCTCGCTTCTATGAATCCGCCTAAATACCGTCGGAATACTCGGCGACGTTGCAACGTAAGCAACATTGCCAACGAAAATAAGGGGACTTCCCGGTAGATTTAGTAATTGAGTTCCGTTTGCTTGCTACAGCGACGACAGATGCGTTGGCGTGAGAAAGGACCTGCCGCAGTTAAAGTTCGCGGTGAACGGCGCCGGAAGTCCTGCCGCAGGACCTCAGCTCAAGTCGAAAGTGGATCAGGCAACCCAAACGCCGGAGAACATCGCGCGCGAAACAAGAAACTTCACCTTGCGGGCGCTGAAACTGCAATTGAACGTCACGCCGACTACCTTGAACCTCAGGTAACGTATTGTCGGATGATTCATAAAATTAAGAGCCTGAATATCTAAAGGCTGATCTAAACAACCAAGAATCTCTGACAGATTCCCGAGAACGTCGATTTCCCAACTGTATAAATCCCGAACGCAAAAATTTGCAATTCAAATCAATTAATTGCATTAAAAGTACGAGTAAACGAAAGCACGGCTAAATGAAAGATAGATATAGATAAAAAGTTACTCATTGTCCTTTAAAATAGAAGAATTAGTAAAAAATAAAGTAAAAACGAAAATAAAGTAAAAACAATCGAAGGAATAGGAAAATTTCTTCCTAGAATATTTTCTTTAAGATTAATTAGAATTATTGTCCTACGAGATTAATGATACATAAAAGGACATTCGTTGTTTTCCAACTGAAGAATTCGAAAAAAAGTTTCAAAAATCTCAAAAATGTTGACTGCTTGAAAATATTTCACAAGCAAAATGTGATAAATCACTTCGAAACTAAAACGAAAATAATCGAAGAAACAGATGTGTTGCTTGCTAGAGTATCTCCTTTAAGATTAATTGGAATTACTATCCTATGAGATTAATGTTCTTTCAGATTTCTGGCGGGGAGAACGAGGAAGAGATCCTTGGCCGCGAACGCGGTTGCAACCGAACAGAAAGCCAGCAAGGTTCTCGGACTGGTGTTTTTCACGTTCGTGTTATGTTGGGCGCCGTTTTTCCTGCTTAACATCTTTTTCGCCGCGTGTCCCACGTGCTCTGTGCCAGGACACGTGGTGGACACGTTTCTCTGGCTGGGTTACGTGTCCTCGACAATCAACCCGATTATCTACACCATCTTCAACAAAATCTTCCGAGCCGCGTTCATTCGTTTATTAAAGTGCAAGTGTTCGAGGTAATTCTACTGTTCTCTTTCTCTTCCTACACAGAGTATTCTCGTTTCAATACACGATATTAAGCGAGAAGTCCTAACAAAACTGCAAAAAGGCGTTGTAAACCTCTTACGAGACATAAAAAGAAACAGATTAAGGTCAGCACTGAAAATTTATAATCTTATTTGGAATCTATAAAGCCTTTAATTAAAAATGACCAATTGTAAATTCAATATATTCTTTTAAAAAATGCATTTTTACTTTTGTTTCATATTAATTTAATTGATTGATTGAATTAATGTCAATCCTTCTATTTCAATTAATAAATCTTAATAATTCTAAGAAATCCGACTTAAACTTTCGCTTCTATCTAACTGAAGATCCAAAAATTAAGTCTCGACAAAATTTGACCGACTGTTAAACGAATGTACATTCGTTGCATAGAGAGAATCTTATAGCAAAAATTACTATAGAACTTTTTAAGCAAGGAATAAATCGACATTCTGCAATAATTGACTAATCTTTTATTTTATGTGTTATATTTATATTATAGAAACTAAAACGTTATTAAAAAATTCGCTATGTTCCTTTACTGACAATCTATTCCTGTATCGCTAGGAACATAAAATAAAATCGAAAAGAATTTTTAGGAAAAAGAAAAAGCTATAGTATCCTCTCTGTGTATATTTTCCAAATGACGGAAATGAACGCGATAAAACCGATATAATTCTTTCAGGTCGGCAAGACTTCCTAGGTATCGTTCGGTCACGGAGAGCGGAAGGGGCGCGATGGGCCTGTGCACGTCGGGTGCTCTTCCGCTTGCCATTAGTTTCCAGGGTACACCCTTGCTAACTCCGTCGTCGAACCCAACGCCGACGCCGGCGTCGGGCAGCTCTTTCGTGACGGTGATGCACAGAACAACAGACTCATTGTATCGAGACACATTTCTGATTCACGAACGCGAGCAGGGCGATTAATTTCCTCGGCCGCGACGAACTAACGGATTGTCTCGATCGACACGACTCGCAGAATTATTCCGTTGAGTACTTGTCAATTTTTTAAAACCGCGCAATGGATAAATGTTGTAGAAGTCGAGCTTAGGAATCAAATTCATGTATGATGCGAAATAAAGTAATACCACTTTGCTGTTTTGATACCACGAGCTCCCATTATTACGCGAAAATAACTTCCTCCTCTGCTAATTCCCGATTTATGCCATATTTTTTACTTGAAGATTATAAAAAATATGTCAATTAACGTAGTCGCTGCTGACAAATTACGTCATATCTTCCTACACACCGTTCTTCGCGTCGGATGTGCAAAATTAGAAAAACTGTCGCGCGATAAAAGTTAATAAATAGATAGGAAATCCAATTTACGACAGAAATGGAACGAAATAATTATTTTTATGCATTTTTAACATACTATTCAGAACAATCGACCAATGGCAGTATTTACTTCATATATAAAAGTTCTACAGTTTATACAGGTCCTGCTGTGTTCTACAAACCTCACGACAATGTAATATGAGAGAACACTGTGAAACTTTTAGAATTGAGTTTTGAAGCCTACAACGAATAAATAGCGTGCAGGAAAATTTCTGTACACGTGTATATCTCTCATCAAGCAGGATAAAGCAGAACAGTAGATTTGTTCGCATCCATGTGGAATTACGGCAGGCTGTATTGATTTACTTTTCTTTTTTTGCACGCGCTACACTATTTTTCCGCACTTATCTAAACAACTAGTTATCTCTTAGTTATCGTCTGGTATCACGCTTCATCTAAATCGTTTTCTTATTTAAATTCAATAACTAGCTTAGCGTCTCTATAATATAGAGAATATTCCCTCTCTATAATATAGATAATATTGAAAAAATAGTATTGGACATATATCACCTAACAAAGCTTTCCGGAAACTAATTAGTCTTCAATTCATAACATTATATTACAAATTTTAATAAATTTCTTGCACTTTTGTCATGAAGGATCATTCTTTAGTGAATAGACTGCGCTGAATACGAATATGATCTCAAAAATACGAATATAATCTCAAAAATTGTCTTTCACATAAGGCTTCCGAGAAAGAAAAGAAACCTTTCCAAAGTCACTAAGATATCTGGTTCATGAATTTATGAAAATGGCCAAAAACGCATTTTTAGAGGGTTTCAACCTCTTTTTTACGTGACACGCAATTTTTGAGATCATGTTCATATTCAATACGCACTCTATTTACTGAAGAGTGACCTTTCATAATAAAAGTACAAAATTTTGTAACATAGTATAATCCGACTTCAGCGCTACGTCGACTATCTTTCAACGGTTAAACAGAGTACCAAAGTTGACAGTTGATACAGTAATAAATGGTTCAAGGATTAAGTCCACTTAACGCTTACACGGACTTTTTCGTAAATTGCAAACGACGTCAACTGTGCAGACACATATTCTGCTTACTCGAAATTCAACTCGCTTTTATCGACGTACGAACAACGATTCCTCTCGCGTTTACCTTCGGCGGGAAAACGTTACGGCCTGTCGCGGCTGGAAGGAACTGAAAGGAACAAATCCTGATATGATAAATATGGGAACGATAGTATCCCGGTGAGGGATAAAAGCACGAGATGACGACAGCGACGAGATTTTCTCGCGTTCGCGAACCATTGCCACGAAAAGATTTGTCAGAGACACGAACAATCCGTCGATGAAAGATGATGTGTTCTCCATTACAGTCTATTTGTCAACTCGATCGCTGAAAAAGACCGCGTTGAAAAATAACGTTCAATCGGCATCGGCACCGCGCTATCGATCAAACTTCCATTTACCAGAATCCTGGAAACGAGCTTGAGATATGTCTCGAATTCTCACAAGATACACCGTACAGGGTTTTTCCGAGTGTAAAAATATATTTTCTCTGGGCGCGGAATTTAAACAACGTCAGATATTGGAATCACGGGAAAATAATGCCACGAGAATTTCACTCCCCTGTCGATATATTCCGCGAGTAATCCTTCATATTTTCCAGATATTATCGCGAGACTTGAATACAAATGTATATCCCAATTATGCTTGAAATAGAAACTGCCTCTCAGATTATACGTCTCTGCGATATAAAAATGCAAACTGAATAGGTATTACGTGAAGATATCAGTCGCCATTTACTCTCGAGCTTGCGGTTCAATTACGAACACGTTGAAAGTCAGTCGGAAGTATTAACCCGAGCTAATGTAGAGCAAAATATTGAAACGATGCGAAAGAATGATATTAGTACGCTGCTTATCGCGAAACCACATCGGGCGAATTCAGCTTTTGCTGACGACAGCTGTTCGACCCAGTTGGCATGCAAAAATAAGACGGACGATTATTATAATCCGCGATCCCGATAGTCGGGCAGCGTAATTGGCGGAGTTGAAAAGAATTCCCATTTGTCGATTCGACAACATAGTTGGGCTATTCGCCGCGTAAACGCTTCTGCAAGGCGAAGTTTGCGCCGGCTGCCTTCATTCAACGGCCGGCTTGCAAAAGCGTGTACTCGATAGAACGCAAGATAAAAATGATAAAAGCGCTGTTTAATTGAAAAAACATGGGAGAAAACACATTTTTTTCGCGCAATGTAGAAGTATATAATTGCACGGAATATATAATTGCCGCGGGGGAAAACAACAGCGTTATTAGGAACGGGTTTGATCATAAAATTAGGAACATTAATTCGTCTAATCGGAAAACTAAATTGCTGGACAAAAATAAAAATAATTACGTCGCGTACTTTGTACGCGCTGACAAATCCTCGAGCAACTGTGAAAATGGGTTAGCTTCAGATAACTGCGAAACACATTTTGAAATAAATTCACGTACGAGATACGCCGTCGGAAAACACATTTCCCAACTTTAAAAATAGCATTAGCACATCGCGTAATTCATACAGGGCAAGAGTTCGAACGATCAGAAAAGTCAGAGTGTCTACTGAGGGAAGACCAACATTTCTTCCCTTTTTCTTTTTTTTTTTTTTTGAAATAAATATATTGACGGAGGGCGAGAACGGTTATGGTACAAGATACTGAATGTAATATTGCAATTAAGGTAACTGATAAACTAGATAAATAAATAAAAGTAAATAAGATAGAGGAACAATGGTTGAACGAATAAATAAAAGTTGAGTGCAGCGAGATTAAACAGACAACAAAATGACGATTTTTAATTAAAAATAGATCGCAGCCGGCGAAATATTTATTTACCCACGAGCTCATAATTTGTTATTGGAAATGAAAACGCGACAAATAGAAAATTCCCCGCGAAATTTTCTCTACATAAAATCCAATTCCGGATTTTATTTTCCGGTATCGGAAACGTGATTTCGCGGTCGCCGATATTTCTAGGAGCGAATCCGAAGATAAGCTCAGCGTGTAATAATGCGAGATTCCGCGAAATGAACATTCGAAAATGCGACCCGTGAGGTCGACATATCATTTCCGGGGGCGCGGCAAAGGCCAGAAGAAAAATTTGGACGCGATCCATTCGGGAGTTCGTCGGACGTTGCCTTTCAAGCTCTTTCGCTCACCGCTGATTTTATTCCTTCATTAGGCTCATCTAATTAGGGTAAAAGCACCCCGGCCTTTGCACAGGACAAACAGCTCTACATGAAAGCTGGAACGACCTAAATGTATTTGAGAATATCATCGCGCTAATGCGAATCTTATGAGTTTCGACAAAAAGCGAGAGTCTACGAGCATGATTGATGCAGTGCTTTCTGCGAATTGCAAGTCGAGAATACTGCGCACACATGTGTATGTGTGCGAGAGAGAGAGAGAGAGAGAGAGAGAGAGAGAGAGAGAGAGAGAATGTCACGCGCCCACACGTGCAATATTAAATCTCATATTAAAATGTAACGCGATTTCATATTTAATTAAGCTGCGAATATCTTTCTCTTTCGAAAACTATGATCTCAATTACTTCCGGAGAAAGAGAATAAAGAAGAAAATATATTGTGTATATCTTATCCTTTCCGGAATAAAATTATATAAAAAAAGAAAATATTATAATGAGAGAAAGAAAGAAAGAGAAAGAGAATATCTCTTATCAATATTATAAATACATCATATAATAAATATACTTTCATTATATAATATTTTGTTTTCTGTATAATTCCACTCTGAAAAGTGATAAGATATACACAATAATTCTTGTATCTCCTTCCTTCAGAAATAATAAGTCACTTTCCAGACTTACATACATGGAAAGAATTTTGTAATAAAAGTTACTACTAGAATTTTGTAGTCGAGACATAGATAAACATTCTGTTTCTGACTTACTTCGTTCTGACTATCCTCTCATTTCATATGTGCTATTCATATTTTAAGTACTAAAATATATTATTAAAAAATTTCCTGTGTTTTTGGGAAATGAACTATGTTCCTTAGCAAGATAAATCTCTTAAGGTAAAAGTACCAATACTTGGACACGTATCAAATTCTGGGCATTCTTATTGCAAGTCGAGTTTTACTCTTCAAACACTAATATTTAAACTTTTCATACAAAACATGTATATATATTCTATATTGATAGTTTAAATATTCACATTTAAGGACCAAAACAATCAGAATAATCAGTATTGGATATGTGTCCGGCCATTGGTATTTTTACCTCATTGCAATCTATTCCTGTACTACTAGAAACATAGTAAAATTGAGAAGAACTTATACGAAAAAAAAAAAAAAAACACTATAATATCCTCTCCGTGCAAGATGCATAAGCATCAATTAGATGTATCCCAGCAACATCTGTACAAATATTTTTATTTAACCCTCTCAATACAACAGGACGCTCAATATGTAGGATGTTTCATTTTAAATAGACCAGCCGAATATTTCGAAAACTGAGCCCGGGAAATAAAAATATTTCAGACAAAATTTATAGGAAAATGTTGAGGAAAAAAAAAGACTTTGCATTTTAACTACGGTCATTCATCAATGTTACGTAGTTATATTTTTTTATATAATAAAAAGTGGCACTTTTTACAGCAGGTAAAAAAATTCAAGATCATTTTTCCCCTCAAAATCCTATAAATTTTGTATGAAATAATTTTTGTTTGCCAGGCTCAGTTTTCGAGATATTCGACTGGCCTGTTTAAAATGAGACACTCTATATTAAACGCAGCAAGATA